CACTTTCACTTTCAACGTTTAGCTTTACAGAGCTGTGTGCCACGGCCCCTTACGAGCTTCCAGAGCTCTGGCTGTCTGCCTGCCGCTTGCCATGTGCACACACGCAGGGAGTCTACCTGCCCAGCCCGTCCCTGCGGCCTGCGCAAAGTCTGGACCTGGGGCCGTAAAGGGATCAAATGCCAATTATGTGCTGGGCCTGGGTTGCTGTGTTTTTTACAGTGCTGGTCGTTGCCTTTGTTCTCTTGCGTCCGGGCCCCGCAGCAGGGGGGGCAAGCGCCTGGTCAGGCATGGGAAAGGAGAGGGGTTTGCTGACCCACCCTGGGCTAGGCTGGGTGTATGAGGTTTCTGGCCCGCCCTGTGTTGGGGAAGGGCCTGCAGCTCTGCAGATAGCAACTTGTCGGACAGGTTTATCCCTTTGTTGGGTGCCCAGGTGCGGCTGGCTGACTGGAGAGCTGGTTCATGGCTCTCTCCCCCACCCCAGACTATGCAGGGCAGAACCAGTCCCTCCCAGGGAGACCTGTTCTACTGCTGCAGTCATTGTGCTTAAGAAGCCTTTCCTCCAGAAAGTTGTTTTAGGATCCCAGTTCTGAATAAACTGCAGCCCAGTGCCATGGAAACTGGAGCAGGAGCGTCACCGAGCAATAGAAAGGAAAGAACGATCAGGATGTTCTAGCTAAGTGCAAGCTGGGGTCTCCGTCCTGTCTGAGACTGTACCCACCCTGGCTAGCAGCGTGATTGCCCCACGCCTGTGTCCCAGGTGGGAAATGAGAGAGAAGGGATCTGCATTCGCCTGGCCTGCTCTAGAGAGCACTGAGCAAGTGGGTTGGCTACAGAAGGGTGACTGCGGTGGAAGGCTCTTGGGGCAGGGTTAAGGTCCCGGCTAAGCTACACGCTGGCCCTGTGGGGACTGTGTAGATAGAGCCCCGAATGGGGTGACCAGATGAGAGGAAGAAAATATCGGGACACATTGGGGGGGCGGGTCGCCGGCGGAGCAAAAAAAAATATCAGGACGAATTGCATCCCAACCGAAGATCGGTCGGGATGCGGGACAAACGCCTAAATATCGGGACGTCTGGTCACCCTAGCTCCGAAGAGCAAGAGACTGGCCTTGAATATAATCTTCAGGGTCTCTTCTGGCGAGGTGCGGCCTCTTCCCCATACGGATATTTGGAGCCTTTGGCAGGGAAGAAAGAGCAGCGTCCCAGGGAATGAGGTGGGGTAGGGCTCTGGGCCTGGTTGTTGCCAAGGGAAATCCCGGTCCAAGGGCTGGCTGTGAGAGTGCAGGCGTTGGCTTGCCTCGGTGTCCAGAGGTTAGTGCTACAAACAGCAGAACACCTCCCGCTTTCTTCTAATCTTCTGTGCTGCTTTTGGGAACAATGGCTCTTATTGTACGTCCCGTCTGTCCGCTTCGGAGCCTGGCTCAGCGAAGAGGGAGGTGTCGCGACTGTCCCGCTGTCTGCAGCTCCTTGCCCCACAGGCTCTTAACTGCTCTTGCTAGGCCTTGGGGAAGGCACCAGCTCTTTGCAGTCATGGCCGCCTGGTTGTAAAGTGCTGTTCCGGGGCTAAGGCTGCGGCTGACAGTACTTAGCCCTTTGCTCTGCTGTGGCTGACACGGTGTTTTGAGCTGAATCCCATAGCCCCGAAAGGCATCTCGGCTCCGCTGGGTTTGGCTAACGGAGCAGCCCCAGTGCGCCCTGAGCTAACCAGGCAACCTTGGGGCTGCAGCTGAGATAGCAGAACTTGAGCAGGGATTCTTGGATTTTGACAGTCTCCCACCTGCTGTTACACTGTGCAGCCCAGGGGAGCTTCTGACTTTTCAATCTCCGTGGCCCGGGGGGACCCCACCCATAATCTTCGACTCATAGACTTTAAGGTCAGAAGGGACCATTATGATCATCTAGTCTGACCTCCTGCACAACACAGGCCACAGAATCTCACCCACCCACTCCTGTAACAAACCCCTGACCTATGTCTGAGTTATTGAAGTCCCCCAATCATGGTTTAAAGACCTCCAGCAAGTGACCCGTGCTCCACGCTGCAGAGGAAGGCGAAAAACCTCCAGGGCCTCTGCCAATCTGCCCTGGAGGAAAATTCCTTCCCGACCCCAAATATGGCAATCAGCTAAATCCTGAGCATGTGGGCAAGACTCACCAGCCAGACACCCAGGAAAGAATTCTCTGTGGTAACTCAGATCCCATCTCCTCTAACATCCCATCACAGGCCATTGGGCATATTTACCTGCTAATAATGAAAGATGAATTAATTGCCAAAATTAGGCTGTCCCATCATACCATCCCCTCCATAAACTTATCAAGCTTAGTCTTGAAGCCAGATATGCCTTTTGCCTCCACTGCTCCCCTTGGAAGGCTGTTCCAGAACTTCACTCCTCTGATGGTTAGAAACCTTCGTCTAATTTCAAGTCTAAACTTCCTAATGTCCAGTTTATATCCATTTGTTCTTGTGTCCACATTGGTACTGAGCTTAAATAATTCCTCTTCCCTCCCTGGTATTTATCCCTCTGATATATTT